AGTTATACAGCTGTTTCTGCATCACACTGATAATGATGTGGATCCTCATTCAAACATTAGTGCGTGATGGTTCCTGGGATATGTTCGTCACTAGTCCAACTCTTCTTCGTTCCCTTCTCTCCTGTAGCTGTGAGAGACTTCACTCTGATCCCTCAGCACACTTCCCCTGACTCAGCTGTTCAGGAACTAAATGCTCTCTATGACGTGGTGGCAGACGTCCGCGCTCGCTGGAACAATGATGTATTTACAGCCTACAAGTAAAAATCATTTATTTGGTGGATTTGTGGAAAAACACATTCAGTCAATGCGAATCACACTCCTCTCCCCTGCAGGACATCGTGCTGCTGGGTGACTTCAACGCAGGTTGCAGTTATGTGTCCGGGTCTGACTGGCAGCAGATCCGCATCTTCACTGACAAGACTTTCCATTGGCTGATCACGGATGCGGCCGACACTACCGTGTCTCAAACCGCCTGCCCTTACGACAGGTAGGCAGATTGTGGCAGGTCGTTCTCATGTGTGCACGCAAACTCTGAACTCTAATCATCTTTCTGTGTTTGCAGGATTGTGGTCACTGCGGACATGATGAGAGGAGTGGTGAAAGACAGTGCTAAGGTCTATGACTACATGACGGACTTGAATCTCAAACAAGATCTGGTAACAGATGAATTTCAATCTCTATCAGAATTCATTTGAACTAAAAAGCACAACCTGCCTCCTTCCCCGCTGACACTAATGGAAACGTTCATATAAAAAGTTAACATAATGCATAATAAACTTGTCAGCAAAATGTTTACTGAGCTCCAATCAGAAGAGAGACATGCTACACAAAGGGCGAAGCAGTCGCCCCGTCAGAAATGATGCAGTTTTAAAGCACTTTTGCTTTTTTAATATCAGCTTTGAGCTACAGAAAATCGAGCAACTTTGTAAAGCAATGGCTGCAGTAACGACCACAGAGATGCAGACACAATCATAATGCAGTGTATACTGTAGTGATGGCATTAACATGCAGGCACAGTGAGTTTTTCAGTGCACTGAAAGAAAACCTGTGGAAACTGAAGCCGTCTGCAGCACAAACTGAGCCACTAAAAGGATTTCTCTGTCTCTCAGGCGCTGGCTGTCAGCGACCACTTCCCTGTGGAGGTGAAGCTGAGCGGTTCGGCTCACGTTGCTTGAACCGTGACTTCCACAAGCTTTCCACACATCGTGCTCAATCTGCAGCCAGCACAGTGATCATTCAGTTGGGGACTACTGTCAGCCACAGCTTCATGAAATGCAAATGCACAATAAAGCTACTAAAAAATGTCACTGAAAACTTGTGTGTTGTAAAGAATTCGGCTTCTTGTTGCAGTAGAGCACGTTTGTCTGAAACAAGTCTGTTTGTGATATTTACTAAGACCCTTTGTTGAAACCTTTTATATTTAGTAACGCATTTGTATTTTATTTCACTTCCTTTGCTTAAATGTCTTCAGTTTTTTTACTAAAATTTTTAAATTAATTTCCAAAAACAGCTCAGACACACAGAAAAACACTGACCTGCAAAAATGTTGAAAAACCGTAAAAGAGCGGTAGAGTAACACATCTGTACACAAAAGAAGAAAAAATGTATTAATTAAAGATTATTTTCAGTCTTCAGTTACTCCTGTAAAGCTGAAACGTGTTCACCACCTGTGATTTTTAAACACTGAAATGGAAAATCAGGTTGTCTGCAGACAAAAAGCTAAAGCACGACAGACACCTGGGAAACACACTAGAGTTTCTGATAGCATCCAGAAGAAGTGTGCTTTGAGAGACGATAGCTGACTGCAGCCTCAAGATGGCAGTGATGTAGAAGCACATCACTTATGCTTTGGTATAACTGACTAGACAAGCACTACTTGTCCTGCTTGTCCTGGCTGAACCGCAGTAGAGTTGGGGTTGCTGTAGTTCAGGTTTCTACTAATTGGAAGGTTTGCAGTTCAATACCCAGCTGCTGCAAAATACTTAACCTTCCTCCCGAGGATGTAATATTAAAGTGAACACACATGCTGATTTCATCTCTTTACAAGAAAGAACATTTACTTCTCCAGGAGTCACATTAGTGACTTGTAGCTTTAGGCTTAGTAGACGACTCACACATCGACAAATCCAAACACAGTTAAGAGTAATACTATTAAATGTGTAAATGTAGTGCTCAAAGAAAGAAGGGAGTACCACAGCAGATGTCATCATCAGTGACAAGTGTGGAGACGCTGCACACACCTGAAGTTTAGCCGATTGTGTTACGCTGACACTCTTGAAGTGTTGTATATTGATTCAATCGTCCGAAACACAAACATACACTAACAAAGAACAAAAAATGCTCCTTGTTATAAGAATGCAAGATTCATTTTGATTTGGTTGTCCACTGACTTTTTAACATTCTCAACTGTCATTTGAATGTAGAGACCTGAGTTACAGTGATAATGAGAACCACACGTTTTAATCCATTTAATGTATGAATCCAGCCATTTATCCTGATATTTCACAGTAAAAACCGAACATTTGTTACAGATGACAAAATCTTTGCCACGTTTAGATGCACCAAAGGTCAGATTTGCTGTTAGTTCTTCATATGTGCAACTTTTGTGACTGAGACTCTTCTGCAACATTTAGCAGTTTGCTTACGTAAACATACTGCAGGTGATGCTGAGTGATGAAGGCTCGGCAGGCTGCCTGAGTGCACGGTTCTTTAAACAAAAACAAAGTCACACCCTAACCTCGTGTATTTTTGTTAAACCCTTGAGGTGTAAATGCTGTGTTTAATCCCCCAAACATGCAGACTGCTCACTGCTTAATGTCAGATCACATCTTTAACTGGTGCTACAAAGTCCCTCTGTGTGCAAACATGTTTCCCTCTCTAAGCCTTTCTTCTCTTAAGCATCTCCAGATACATCCCCAGAGACTTCTGAATAGAGTCCTTGGTGATGAACTTGACAAAGTTATTGACATCAGCCTCTCTGTTAGACGTCAGCTTGTCTATGGTTGGCTTCCTCATCATGGACTTTGTGAGCTGTCTGGCGTGATCTGCAAATGAAACAAAAGCTGTGCATTAATATACAATTTCTTCTATGAATACTGACATGGGCTTGAATTCACTGCAAAATATATTCAATTGCAGCACTATTGTGGAGCACCTTTTATTTCTTGTGTGGCTATGTGACATTTCTAACAGGTGCTGAAAGCTTGTGCTCTTTTTCTGCCTCCTGCACATCCTGCCAAGTACCAGGATCTACTGAATACTGCTGTAAAGATGGTAATACACCCATATCCACACTTCTGAGGTACGAGGCTACATCTCCCTACATGCGGGTTCGTGGCACCTCACCTTAAAACAAACATACACTGATAACATCTCATTTTTATCCTACCTGCCTTGGAAATGTTACCTGCAATTTTATTACCCAAATGGTAAATGGACTGGTTCTTATAAAGCGCTTTTCTACTCATCTGAGCACTCAAACAAGCACATCTTTCTAAGTGCTTCATAGCTAACATTCACACACATTCAGAGCAATTTGCGGTTAGTATGTTGCCCAAGGATATCTGGCATGTAGATGAACCTCCAACCTTCTGATCAGTAGAGGACCTGCTCTACCGCCTGAGCTACAGCCACACAAATAAATCTACTTTAAATAAAACATAATTTGCTTGTCTTTAATAGTGTGCAGGAACTCTGCAGAACAGCAATAAAGTCGTTATTGACTGCACGACTTTCAGTCTCACATCATCGGAGGAGTTTTGGCCCGTTTGTCTTTAGTGAGACTCCAGTCGTAGCATTTCAATCA